TTCATAGCAGCATTTTCATAGCCTTTATTTTTGGTGTCCTTCACACATGCTTGCCAAAAACAGGGCTCATGTAATCTACCTGATAGATTCCTGGGTGGATCATTTCCAACACATAATATAGGAGAGGTACAAGCTGTGAACATTTCGCTTGCTTCTTGGAAGAAGGCTCAGGAAGAGTTACAGCCCTCCCAAATGATCCAGGTGCTAATTTAGAACAATCACCTGCCCTGGATGACGTGCGACAGCCACAGATGCTGTGTTGGGGCTCACCGACCGAGACACGGGCCGGGAGAAGAGCCATAATAAGCAATTCAGCCGAGCCGTCGATTCAGTCTTTTGAAACCTCTTTCAAATGAAATCCTGAAATAGTACTGCATTTCTACAGGCGTCAAGCTGTCAGCTTCAAAGAAGGGGAACAGGCTTCTGAGGCTTGATCCCTTTCACGAGCAGCTGAGGCCCACGCGGCAAAGAGGAACAGATGTTGGAGGGGGCTGGCGGACGCCCTGTCCCGGCCATCCTGTCCTGGCCTCCTGGTGTGGGTGGGCGGTGCGCTTTCCTATCTCCTTCCTTGGAGCAGAGAGGCCAGTTTCAACCTTTGCTGAGACTGGGGGCAGAACGTTCTGTCTCAGAGCCAAAAAAAAAATTGAACATCCTCAGTGAAAAGCCGCCAGCTGCCCCACCTGCTGCTCCCCCTGGCTTTGAGCCAGGTGAATCCAGCAGCAAGGAGGAAGGTTCTGTCTCTGAGTCCAACTAGCCTTCCACCCCAGCTCTGACCTGGGTGATTTATTTAGCCTTTGTGTGCCTCAATTTACCCATCTGGAGAATGTCAAGAAGCCTACAGACTGGCACGGGAGTAAGCACAAGGGAATCACAGGACCCCCACTCCCTCACCTCTGGCAGTCGGGGCCCAGGGCCTTCCCATTCACAGGAAGCCAGCTATGCCTGATGGTGACCAGGGCCGGGCTCTGCGGGTCATGCCCGTGTCTCCCGAGTTGGCCGTCTGTCAGGTCAGTTAGAGCTTCTGCAACTCTTGAGGCACGGTGAATGGAAGGAGAGACTGTTACCCATTAGCTGCCTGCATAGAGAGCATGTAAATGCTCTCTGTGTAAAGAAAGAAAAAGAAAAAAGACCAAAGATCAGGAGGCAAGAGAAACAGTTTGTCAAGTGATTGATGCCAGTTACTTCTGGACAAGAAGACAGGAGGCTCGGCCTCCCTTGATGTAAATTACAGCAGAACCATCTTTCAGTTCCATTGACTCGTGCACAAGTCTGGCAACTAGCTTTTGTCTTCTCTGTTTCCTTGTTGTCAGAGGGCACAAAAGTGTCCCACTCTCTCCCTTGGCGCCATCCTTCAAGGTGACTTATGCTTTTGAAGTCCCTGCCATCTGTTCTGTGTCTCAGCACTTTTCATGCTCCCAGAATTCCTTCTGTTCTCCCGGACTTGGCCACCAATAGCTCTGCTTGTGAGGGGAAACTAAAGCTACTGTCACCCTCTTAGAGCCCCCTTGTTCTCCTCAGAAAGCCATTTAGGAAAACGCATGTCCCTGAGTTACCAAGAGAGCTCTCTGAGGAATGAGAAGACCTGAAACAGCAAGAGAGACTGTTCTTGAGTCTAATGCATGGAGTGTTTGACTGATGGTCTGAAAGAGGGAAAAATTCCATCGGAAAAAAATTGTGTGTGTGTGTTTTTAAGGAACATATGTGCAATTTTGGCAAAAATGCCTTCTTAGAAAGACTGGAATAATTGGAACCAATGAACTCTGAAGTCATGTGACTCATCCCTCTGCCTTATTGCAATATGTCAACTATTCTGAAAAATGAATTGCTCAGAAAGCATTTATTGTGTGTTGCTCAGCATCAGAAACATAGAGTAGGGTGGTAGGAGATGAAAAAAAAATGGCTCTTTTGTTTGTGAAAACATCTAGGGAAGGACACTTCCCAGCCTCCTGTGGAAGCATTCCTAGCACTTGGCCTACCAGGATCTCCATGCCTCAAACCTAAATCCTGAGCAGCTTGGCCCCATCTCTCAGCGGGGTGGCCACAGATGCTTCCACCTCCAGCTGGTGTAACAGTTGCCAGGCTTTGCAAAGGGCACGGCTTTGGGTTGTCCACATGGGGCCAAGCTGCATCTGAATTGGGCACGGGGTACTGGTTGTGCCTTCCATGTCTCCTTTTCTGAAAGAGCTTTATAGATACAAACCCAGGACAGACACACCAAGAAGTTGCAGTCATTAGCTCACATCTTTCATGGCCTCAGTGTCACCCTTTGGCACTGTGTCAGAGTTCTTATTTGCAAATTACAGCAACTCTGGCTGGGTAGGAAATATGTTCCTTAAAGAATATTGGTAAGTCACATGGTCACCAGGCTTGGCACTTCCCGGCGTCACTCCTGGGAGCTCCCAGGCTCACACCCTGGGGCTTGCACCACAGGTGCCCCCACGCCTGCCACCATCACTAGGATCATTGCCTCTGCTCTTTTGGAAACTAAATATAGAGGCTGCCACCTGTCACCAGAGTGGATTTCACACAACTGCTAGCTGTCAATTCAGTCTCGGGCAGGTGTGTTGCATCAGCTGGTGGGGAGGGTACAGGCTGTTAGCTGAGGGGGAGGTTGGAAAAGCCAGTATCTTCTAGTTCCTCCTTCTAAAGTGGAGGCAGAGTTGGCTTCATAAC